ATTTTAAAGTATTTTTAAAGTTCAGTTAGGGGACCTTTTATAGGGATAACTTCGCGGTCCACCTTTTCAAATATGTATCATGCATCATGTTTATGTGCATATACGTATTTGAATAAAGTATTGTTATTATTATTATTATTATTATTATTATTAATATATTTTTATTTAACATATTGTATGTTGCATTATCTAGTTTACAATATTGTTAACCAAAGCTTCTTTACAAGCTATCTTGTTTGTCCTTCTTCTTTTTCTATGCGCTTGGCTAAAGCGACATTACTGTTGACTAACTCGATGCTGTCTGATTGCAAACTTTTGCGGCGTCTGCGTCACAACATGCTCTTCATCTTTTCTCTGAATCGCTGGTTGATTAGCGCGTATACAAATGGATTAACAGCGGAGTTGAAGATGGTTATCGTGTGAACAATAAGAAATATGACAGCACCGTGCTTAAGGCTGTTTGTTTGATCGGCGACTTGGAGTATTACATCTGGGAACCAAGTGATACCAAATATGGCACTGACTGCTACTGTTGGAGAAATAATTATCATGTAATGTGATTCGTTGATTAAGATCATATGACACTCTCTAGGGGATTACACGTGCTCTTCGATCGCATAAACTCATGATTTATTCTCTCGCCTTGTAGCTTATGTTATTCAGTTCTAGTTGTAACCTTCTTTCGGTTCGGATTAAAGATGGATTCTTAATAGTTACAATCATTAAGCTCACTCGCGTTCGTACCCTCAGCACACCCTGCGTAAGAAAGCGGAAACCACATTTACAGACTACTTTCGCGCCAACACGAAAAGCTGTTTGATATAGTATGAACACCTATTCGATATGAGACTCTCCACTTTAGAGATCGGCGCGGCGCAGCTTAGCTCCATCACAGAAATCGCGTCCAAGTCACCGTTCTTAGGTGTTAAGTTAGCTTAAAACTCACCGTTGCAGAAAAATATACTAAAAAAACTTCTAAAGAAGCAAGAGACACCTTGCAGCAGTGCCGGTGAGCCTTGCTTTAGCTAAGTGCCTGGGCTGTAACCTATCGCTCTGGGTATTCTACCTGGCGCCTTGCATACTCGCCTCTGTTACCGTCGAGTGACATTAAAAGTTCAGTGGTGTGAAGAATCGTGTCGTCGATCTATCATCCACTCCCCGACTGGGATTGGTTTTACAGTTCAATAATAAAACATGCAATTTCAAGTATTACCTTTAACTAATTACAAAAAGTCATAGCATGATTCATATTAAAGAAACCGTGAAACGGTATCAGACAATTAATAGAAATAATTATTCATTCAAAATATTTCTCAGTTTCTTATTAGCTCAAATCCTACGGCTAATTCTTCATAACCAGCTAGCGTTGACCAAATTTGGAAGACGTTTGCGCTATATGGAAAGTGAAGTCAACCGAGAAGCGCTGACGACAAAGTTGCGATGTTTTGGTGGGGCATGGAGGCAGAACATTTCACACGAAAAAGAAATGGCCGAACAACCGTCTAAAACGTAGCTAGAAAAGTAAGAATCCAATTCGACGGACAGCATCTGCTATTTGGAAAATATCTAAAAAACTAAACCTTCTTTTATCTCCTGAACTTGCCAAAAAACAGACGAATGAAGACAGGAACTAAACATCCATCGAGGTCAGCGTGTTCTAGCTTGTCGTTGTTGTTGTTCTTTTTGTTTTAACTTGGAATTATTTTGAATGAATAATATAACAATTGTTGCATTCAGCTTTCGTATGATCTGAAGAATAATGATAGCGATCGAGGAGGGTGTTATCCACTGAGGCCGATTACCCTCGATCGACAGAGCTGAATAAGGTTTTATTATGGTAATTTTTTTTCTAGTTTCATCTGTCGTGTCGAAAATCTTTTATTACCTTTCTGTTGCTGAGCTAGCTGGAAAACAACAGCAATTTTCGAAAATCGATCTGTTGTTTTCTTAACAAGGTCCGGAATTCTTAGGCTTTCAATTTGTGCGTTTTTCCATCGATTGGAACAATGGAAAGAACTATTTTTCATTGTTTTCATCAAACCCTTTTCTTGTTAATTAATGGACATTTTTTCTTGTTAATTAATAGACATTTTTCCTTTCCTACTTTTAATCATACATTAAGCAGTTACTTATTCGAACGCTTTCCTTTTCAAGTGGGCCCTAGTTTCTAGTTTTAACACCTCATTTCTTTTTTTGCATAATTTTTATCTTACAAATGTTGGCGTCTGCTTTTAGCTTAATATTTACTTTTTTTTACATAGTACATTATTTTAGTTCCTCAAAACTCCATCATTTGTATTGTCACAGAAAATCCCTCTTTAGGGAGTGGCAACAAAGTTTGCAGTTCTTTTTAAAAAGACGAGAATGTGTCAAACTTCACGCCCACTGAGATTAAACGGAAGAATGTTGTACGTAACTGTTAGTCGATTAATTGCAATCAATTTACAGACTGATCCCTTGTTTTCTTCTTTTTATTGCATAGCTCATGTTTTAATCACCATGTGACGTTTCAAGTGACATTTTGACACTGGAAATAGTTTTATAATTCCGGTTATTTGTCTAACTTCATGTAAGAACAGCAGTTCTCTGGAACAGCCTGCCCTGTGATATGAGGGAGGCTAAATCTTTCAGTCAATTTAAACGATTGGCTCATCTGAATTTCTGATTTCAAAGTACTGTGTACACGGCATTCATGAAAAACAGGTCTTAGTTATGTTAGTTGTAGATAGTTATGCATATTGTTTAGGGTAGTTGGGTTTATTTAATAAATTTTTATACTCCTGATGAATTTTACAGTGTGTAAATAAAGAATTCCTTTCTATTCTATTCAATGAGGAATACCCCTTTAGGGGTATTTGGTGGAGTTGAATTGCTCTTGTTATTCCTTAAACCGGGAAATTGGACATCTAGAGAGGTGTTTTCACCTCTCCAGTACCAAAGGGGAATTATCACCTCCACCCACATATTATGAGTACTTCATCCCTTACCCCCTTTTCCCACATTAATTCTGGCCTCGTAATTTGCTTTTAACTAAAGGGTTATGGGTTGGAAGCATTAACGCTGTCGTGAACGCTACGGATTCCTTTTAAGGCCCAAAGGAATGTTTCTATCGAACTAAAGAGCAAAGCATTATTACTTCCAAAGTAAAATTTAAGGTTAAGCATTTACAGTAGGTTGATCCAGTTTGATCATATGATATTCCCTAGTCACGGAAATTGCCCCCAGAGGAAATTCTGTTTGCCACTACATTGCCGTGAGGTTCTATCATTGCCATCGAACGCGGTGTACGGCAAAGGATTTCTTTCATTTTTTTTTCCCTCAATAGTTGGTTTATCGGAGCATATGCAAACGGATTGACCGCCGATTTGAACATAACAGCTGTGTGAACAGTGGGAAGAGGGAGCAATCCTGACGGACGAAAAATGCTCCAGATGGTGATGATAAAGATGAAAATTTGATTTTTAAAACCAAGGAATAGGAATGTCAAGCAATATCGAGGTTACCCTATCGAAGGAGACTGTGCTCGCAGGGTATATCGAGGTAAATTAACTCTAAAATTATTCTACTATAAAGAAACTTAAGTATTGTCCATACACATTTATTATATATGTACTGAGATTTACCTGGTAAAAAACTACTGGCAATTTTTGTCACAAGTGAAAATTATCGTATGACCAATCACTGGGCGCAGACGAAAACCTGCACTAGGGAAAAAAATCGTATTGGTTTTCCGCCTTTCACTGTCCGCTTTCACTAAGAAAAACAGTAAAGTCAAGTCATGTTTATTATTATTTTGTGTGGTTTTGTTCCAGTTCGCAGAGTATATGCCGTTACGCTTTTAGACCACCGACCGTTAACCTTTTTTTTAAATGAACGTTTGATTGCACAATATGAAAATGTTTCCTCTTTTTGTTATAATGTTCCAGTTTTAACTGTTTCGCTGGCAAGTAAACAGACGTGCAGTCATTGCGAATGGGTTCAGTTTTATTTTCTTATAGTTACTGGTGTCAAGTTACCTCGGCTCTCTATAAGCCGGACACCTCTCTAAGCTCTCTAAGACGAACAGTCTGGGCCGTTCATGAAGATGTCCATCTCAGAGTACCCTGCGAGCAGTGGTTTCTCCAGGCTGGACGCTGCGCTACGAAGGTAGAGAAACCAATGCGTGCAACCGTTTGCTTTTCCATCGAGCATGGGAATTCACGTGATGCCTACGTCAAAACATCAAATGCCATCACTTCATCTTGTTTCGCAGGAAACGTTAGGGACTTTAAGATCCAACGACGCGACGGCAACGAGAACGTAAAAAGAAATCAGGTTTAATAAGCAAAACAACAACTTTGTCGTTGCGACTGTCTTCGTGTAGAATTAGCCAGTTTAGAGGAAAACAATAGTTTTAATGCAGTGAATATCTAGACTGAAGTTTGACTTAAGACAAAACGTTCGAAAATGAAGTAAATTATTAAGCGTTTTTTTGACTATCCGCTTGTTAGATATGGAGAACCCACCCAACCTTACCTAGGTATTTTTATATTCAGGAGGTCACGTCATGGCTGGACACTCAAAAACGGACATAATTTTGTTTGCCTGCCTGTTTTTCTACCGTGGTGGCAGAAATAATCTAATTAAGATCAAATAAGACTACTTATTTTAGGCCTGTCATAAACTAGTTGTGTTAAAATCACAAGACTTGTAGATATTTTATGGGAATTGTTGTCTTGTTGTAGTCTAACATTATTCTAGGTTTATAATGCATTTGTCGAAATTATGAAGCTTTGTCTCAAGGGATTCTGGGAAATTCTTTATTTTAACTATAATTTATTTTTATTTTTAATTACCGTGTCCAAGAATTTTAAGAATTACATAATTCGAGTCTTAAGCCTGATGTTAATACTAATAAGAGCTGTACAATTTTTCCTACACAGTATGTTACCATCATTAATTTACATTGTTATTGACTGCAGTTTCTTTAGAAGCTATCCACTTTGTACCTTTTCTGTTTTCTATGGCCGTGGCTGAGTGATGTTACTGTTCATTAACTCGATGCTGTGTGATTGCAAATTTGTGGAGCTCCTGAGTTCCGATAAAATTGAACTATAGCACAGCAATCGTTTCATCTTTTCTCTAAATCGCTGGTTGATTAACGCGTATGCAAATGGATTGACAGCGGAGTTAAACATGATGATGGTGTGAACGATAGTAAATATGGCGGGACTGAACTTGATGCTGGTTGTTTGTTCGACGACGTGTAGAATTACATCTGGGAGCCAAGTGATACCAAATATGGCACTGACAGTTACAATCATTAAGGTCACTCGCTTTCGCACCTTCAACACTCCCTGCATAAAAAAGCACAAAACCACATTGCAGATTATTTTAAAGTTTGTTGGAGCAAAAAACATTTTGTCGTCAGTCAAACGGCCATTCCCTTACTGGGATTGGTTTAACAGTTCAGTAAAAAAACTACTTAAGTTATGTTGGCTCGACTAGACTTTCACGGGCAATACGTCCAAGTTTAAGTATTAACTACGTCGCCATTAAAAAGATTTGGAAAAGTCATCACCACAGCTGTATTAGGTAAAGATGAAAGTTTGCTGTTAACAGTGTTACGTTGACTTCGCAGTTGCCACAGTAATGTAATGACGTTACCCTTATTTTGCTTGCAGGCATATTTAACAACACTGGAAGGGATTTGAGCATGCATGCATTGAAGTAGCTTCCCACGCCACCTTCGCTAAGATTATGCAGTGCTCGGAGTATTCTAAAATCTGACTAAATCTTACTTTTGCCCCTCTGAGTCTATCGTTTATTAGAGGTCATAAAGCTTTCCCAGTGTTTCATGCAGATCCTCGTTATAACGAACAAATTTTGTCAGTCCCTTGGCCGTCCGTTAAATCGAGGTTCTTTGTCTGATTAAGCTGTGATGGTCGTTTCCTATATCTTTGATAACGGCGACGTGCTCAAACTTGGGAGATATTTTCCCTGAAAAATGCAGGCGAGCCACCGTGAGTGTTATCAGTAACCAAGTAAATATAGTGTAGTTGTTAAGAAAGAAATAAAATCAGAAGGAAGACCGAAAATTGAGCACAATTGAGAAAAAAATCTCGTCAGAATTTAAAAAAGCTTTAAAGTTACGTTCACACGGTACCGGACGAAAGTTCGACTGGCTGAAAAAATTTGATCGGACATTTCGTTCACATGGAACCGTTCAATATTTCCCTCACGAACCAGGTTGAATTTTACCTTTTTCAGCGTTTTAACCATCTGTCCTTGCCCAGAGCACAACTTAAGCCAATCCAAAATGGCGTCTTCCAACTAACTACCAAGCATTCATGCAACCACGCCTTTAGGTGGTCAATGTGTTAACACCACGCTGATCAATCTTTTGACCGTACCGGCTCAAAATTTGAACTCGATTTTGAAGATCAACTTATTGAACGGTTGGGAGTCTAAATTTCTTTACGGAGGCTCCCTGTGAACTAAACCCCTAAACGCACGAATTTTCAACCGGTCGAATTATTGTACAGTACTAGGTGAACGTCTTTTTAACGTGTTAAATGAAATACCCTCTGTCGATGTGTGAGTTCATCGTTGTTGCACCTGGCCCACAAAGTGAACACGACTCTGGAATATAACCCAATCATCACCGCAATGGAAATGACAACCATCGTAAACCACAAGAATACGTAACCATGTTGTATCCATGTCTTGTAGTGAAGCCGCATCTTGGGGCAGAATTTTGGATCGAATCTCTTGTCTAATGCCATGTTTGTTGCTGGCGGGATTTCCAATATCAATGAAAAGAACCAAAAACTAGGAATAATAATCTAGTGATGGAAAATGGAAACAACATTAAGCTAAATCGAACTTCTTTGGGCAGTTTTGAGCATGTTGTTTTGTCATTTCTGAGTTTTGTCGAGCTAGGACAACTGGTAGAATAAAAATGTATTTCTCTCACAATGGAAAAATCCCTAACTCATGTAACAAATTCTCAAGTCTGTGAAATGAAATTTTTGCGGGTAAGAAATGTCAAATGGACGTCACTGAGAAGTGCTACACTATTGTACTACTTATTCATAGATACCGAACAGTGATTTACTTTAGTACATTTTGATGCATCCGCAAATCCTTAAATAATAATAATAGTGGAAACTTTATTTTTGTTTTTGAATGTACAATAATTATTGTAAATCTCGCTACGTATAGGCAATTTACAAATGCCGCTTGAGATCGAATTATTAAAACAAAAAAAAAAAAAGAAAAGAAAATCAAAATTGCATTAAGTCTGGGCTATCCCAATTCCTATTTCTACAACAAAAGATGTAATATGTTGCTCTAATGACTATGTTTATCATTTTCTTGATTATATAAAGTTGCTGCTTTTTGTCAATGTCAGTGTCATTCATCATGTCTAAGAACGTGGAGCATTCGTCGGAGAAAACGCCAAGAGAGCTCTTGGAGATATTTACAAATTTCACACATCTGTAATTTCTACTCATTAGTATGGGTAATAGCATGATTTGTAGTGATATTTGGCACAAATACCACGAGTGATATTTCAAAATTGTTATACGAAATTTCACGAGCCGTTAGGTGAGTGAAATTTGAGACAGTTTTGAAATATCACTAGTGGTATTTATGCCAAATATCACGTACAAATCATGCTATTATTTGTTTATACTACTACCCGCAAAGGTTTTGTAATTTTCACATGTAGGTATTTCAAATTAAGCTGAAGTACCACTTCTCTTAGCCAATCAAATTGAAGAAATTTCTCATGTAGTAGTATTATAATAATAACACTAGTAATAATGATAATAATAAATTATAAATCTACTATAGCGCCTTTTAACATACATGTATAAATGATCGAAAGCGCTTTACGGTCATACTAATTAAAAGTTATAAAATAAATCTATGATATCGACTATGAAAGATGACACCGATTAACAGAAAAAATGCTGATAAAAATTCATAAATAAAATAAAATGAGAATAAAATCAAGTTAAAACTTCTTAAAAGCTAATCTAAAAAGATATGTTTTAATCCAATGATAAGTTTTAATGTAAAAAGATATGTTTTAATCTAAAGCTAATCTAGAAAGATATCTCTTTAAACGATGTTTTGATCATGAAATTCTTCAAATTCTTCCATAGCCTCCTAAATTTTCATAGCCCCTCACTAAAGGTTAATTAATGAAACCTTTTTTCCCGAATTAAGTCGTATTAACAACTTTAGTTCAAAGGTTAAAAGAGTTACTTTATTGGAGCAGTTTGTGCAATTTTCTGCTCTTTGCAATCAATAACAGAGGAAATATCAGGAATCAATAACTGCGAAATTGCTGGGGACAAAGAGCTCATACATTTTTGGAAAGTTTCTTCTAAACGTATTCGGTATATCGAGCTCAGATTAATGATAAGGATATGTTAATGATGCAAAAAATGTAAAAAGGATTCGCCTATTAGTGATATTACACTAGCTAGGTGCTGTAAGGTTTTGGAAGTGCAACTTACCTTTAGTCTGCGTATGGTAAGATTTGCTTTGCTGCCGAGGGAGTGTATAACGCTTAGGTAGCGTTCTATGGCAATGGCAAGAAGAGTTAACACTGAAGAAAAAAGCCCCGACCCACGCAATGATTCCCTTTGTCAGTACTATGCACAACACCTTGCCAGTCACTCCCCTGGGTGACTGTTAGTGTGTCTCAACACAATGCCTGGTAAACTAAATGTTGTATAGATGATATCCGCCACTGCAAGGTTCACCAGTAGATAATCTATGGGATTTCTGTGAAAATTAAATGATGAAATAACGCAACGTATTGTAACAGGCGACATTATAATTTCAAAATTTTAGTGATATTTAGAACTTTACTTGTAACGCGAAAGTTATAGCTTATATTTAACTACTCTGAATTCGAGGTTAAATATGGTATATGTATGTACGTATGTATGGCATACCATGTCATACTTCAAGAATTATTCTTTACCGACAAACGGCGAAAAGAAATTACAGATTTATCAAAACTTGAATACAGTGATGTAATTACGTTATCAGAAAACCGTGAACACCTGAAAAATTTCAGGAATGTTGATTGTGTATTGGCCAATCACAATAAAGTTCAGGATACGCAAGCAAACCTCAGAACCACAAATTAATTACCGTTGCTGTTTGCGGTTTAGTTATCTCGCGCCTTATTGGCTTATTTCTTGCAACACAATAACATTCCATAAATATTTCTGGTGTTCACGGTTTTGTGAGTTCCACAGTAAGTGCCTTTTCTCAATAATCAATTCACCATTTCTACTGAGGCCATAATGCACCTTGTTTACACCCCTCCACAAAAAAAAATTGCATAACCACTGTCTTCGATTTCTCTCGGGACGACTATAATGCCCAGGGGAAATTGGAAACAATGGTTGCGTAAATTTTTTTTTTTTTTTTGGGGGGGGGGACATCGGTGCATCGGTGAAAACGGTCATTTGAATTTATTATCAATTGGAAAAAATGGTCAGGTAAAATTTTGGGGGTAAACAAGGTGCCTGATGGTCTCGTTAAAAATTGTCAATTGGACTCATTAATGAAATTGATGGTAAATTCTGCAAGATACGTTGTATAGTAAAAAAATTATTTGGCATCAAGTGGTTGAAGGGAGTACGTGGTGTCGTTGCTGAATAGTTCTCTACCTCATGTCTCGATTCTTCTTGATGACGGCACAAACAAGAGAGTTTCCTACGATACTTGTGATGATAAGCACTGACGTTACAACTGTCACAGCAATTTCAGCTGATTCCGACATAACTATGTCAGTGTTGGTCACGATAACTGAAATTATGTAAAAAAAAAACCGTGAGTAATAATTTACCTAAGGTCCTTCCCAGAACCCTTTGCATCAAAAGAACGTTCAGTGGCAGCTCCTCTACTAGAGTTTGTACGTGAGTAGGGTCGTTCGATCGGACGTACGTTGCCGTGACTATAAAGTGACTTTTAAGCGGAAAAAAGGCTCTTCGTGCTCTATACCAGGGGATAGGTTCCGCGCGGAGCTCCGTATCAAGACAAAGATGATAATGAAGAAGCAAAATGTGTAGAATCTATTTATTTTTCTTTTCCTCTTCTTTTATCTGATATTTTGCTATTTACTAAGTATCTATTGGCAGCTTTTTTTTAAATTACCCTTTTGTTACGTAGTTTGAAAAAAAGTAAAACAAAAAATGTGCAAATATATACGTAACGGATACTTAACAAAAAGCAAGCAAACAAACAAGCAATTGAAAAAGACAAATTTATTGACATTAAGGACCCCGCTTTGCTCAAAGAAGCGTAACATTTGTCTTTAAAAGACTTTAGTGAGTCTTAGAGACACCGCAATAAAGATTTGTTTAAGAGGCTATCATTAATGAATAGCTGCTTTGAACGCGAAAGGGATATTGCGATCGCCAGATATGAAAAAAACAACAAGTATCCGCAGTCTTAATAACTCTTCGCAAATACAATCTACAAAGAAAGAAGCAGACGGCTGATGAGCCTCTTATATTTTACGCACATAGCCATTTTTCTGTTTTTCTGTGGGCAGTGTAAGATGAAAGGCGTGCTAAGCATAAGACAGGGAGACCGCTGGTGATTTTCCGATCTCCAGGAGCAAGCTGTTGCAAGGCACCGCCCCAGAGGAACAGCAAACCAGAAGTTACTCTGTATTATTTAATGGAT